TACCTTGTTGGGATCCATTTTCTCAGGGGATCCTACTATTCTGGGGGTTTATATTCGGGGTCCCTTATTTTGCGGAAACCCCCATCTAGCCCCAAGGGCCCATGTACCTAAATATGGAATACTTTGGGCCTTAAAGTACTTCCTATACAGGGAGTTTGGGGCCCTAGTATATAGTAATGAGGTACATGGACCCTTGGCATGAGGGTAGTTATATGGTCCCCTAGCTCCTTTAAACGGGTTCCTCTGATGTATGGGCCCTTTAGCTTTATAGGGTATATAAGGGGGTATCTAAGGGGTCCCCTTCTATAGGGCCCATATGAAGGGACCATGTAACTAACCTTCAGAAACCCGAAGAAGCCCGTTGAACCTTTATGATTCCCCCCCCCGAAGCCCCCACGCGGTAGGCTTCGGGGCGCGGGTGCACAGAGGCCGCCAGCTCGGCCTGTTTGATGGCCATTTGATGCGGGCTCCAGGAGGGCGCCCGCCTTTTTGAGACTGTTTAGGTGGTTATAGGGTTTAGAGAGTGGGTTAAGAGGGGATGAAATGAACCCCCAAAATTGGGGCCATATACCCTGAGTACTCTACTTCCTATTGAGGTATATGAACCATAAACCCTTTTAGGGTTCATTTAGTCCCCCAGGATAGGGGGTGAAGAGTGTTGAGGGTTGAGGAATTGTATGGGGGTTTCTGTTTTAGGGTTCACCTGGAACCCTATTTACCCCCCCCCAACTTAGCAGGTAGAACCCTCAAAACCGTAGGTTAATAGGGTCCCAGGTAGGGTTGAGAGGGCTTCGGGTTCACTGGGTCCTTGTTCATTACAATTTTGCATTCCCAATAAGGACCCTAAACCCTGAACCCTGAACCCTAAACCCTAACCCTAAACCCTAAAACCTAAACCCTAAACCCCGGGATGGTGATTCTTAAACATAACCCCAACAAGGAAGCAGCTTAGTGTGTAGGAGGGCGGAGGAGGTGCACGGATCCATGAGGCCGTGGAGTGAGCGTCCCTGGCAGCTCGCGCTTAGGGTTTAGGGCTTAGGGTTTAGGGTTTAGGGTTTAGGGTTTAGGGTTTAGGGTTTATAGGGTTTAGGCTCTACATCCCCTGAAGAGTTCACTCGCGCGGGGACAGCCAAAACTCCACACGCCCCTCCCCATGAGAGCAGATCCGTTGCGGCACAGCGCGCTGGATACCTCAAGCTCTGGTCCACCGTTTAAAGCGCCCAAAAGCCTGGGGCCTAAACACTAACCCTAAACCCTAAACCCTAAACCCCAAACCCCAAACCCTAAACCCTAAACCCTAAACCCTAAACCCTAAACGCAAGTTCGGGGCTTTAAGGCTTGTCTTTCTCACCGCGTATTGGATGGTCTGGGTGGGCCCTGTTTTTCGAGTTCCCCCACACCGAACTCTTCGCAGAGGGGCCCTCAGATGCGGGGCCGGTTGCAGCTACAGCGGCTAGCCTTTCCTCCTCCTTCCCTCCTTCCCCTAAACCCTAAACCCTACACCCCTAAACCCTAAACCCAAAAGATCCAAGTAAGTACTTTGAGAGGGTATACTTGGGCCGGCTCAAAGCAGCTACCATGTCACCCTTCTTTTGGTCTATCTAGGGTTCAGGATGGTTGCGGGTTTAGGGTTTAACCTTGGGGACGAAATGAACCCCCAAATTGGGGTCATATACCCTGAGTACTATAATTCCTGTTCAGGTATATGAACCATAAACCCGTCTAGGGTTCATTTAGTCCACAAGGAAGTCACCCTTCTCGGGTCTACAAGTACCTATCTACTCATGTGGTATCGGGTTTTGGGGGGTTTAGGGTTGCAGGTTTAGGGACAAAGAAAGACCCCGCCCAGTTTTTGGGGGCGCGGAGGACCCGAGCTATGAGGCCTTTCCATCCAGCAATGTATCTCCATTGTTTAGGGGCCAAGGCGTTCGACGCTTTCTACCTTCCCTAAGCCCTGCCAGCATGGGCTATTAGGCCTCATAATCCCTTCACCAACCCTATAAAGGGCCTTTTTAAGGGGTTATCGGGCAGAATAGCCCATGTAGGTATGGCCTAAACCGGAGCCTAAACCTGGAAATCTCAGGCACACCGGTGCTGGATAGGGCTCCTTCCGGGTCGCGTCGAACGTCACGAGTGTGCAATCGAGTTCCTGCCCCACACCAAATACTGTTCTTGGCCAGCCCAGGAACCACCCGAGCCTCATCTGCAAGCCATGCGCTAAACCCTAAACATCGGTACCCTAAACATCGGAACCCCGCCCAGCCAAAAGAAGCAAGCCTCCCCCAAGCTTCTGACCCCAACAGAAGAAACCCCCAACACCCTACTAGGGTTTTAGGGTTTTAGGGTTTTAGGGTTTTAGGGTTTTAGGGTTTTAGGGTTTAGGGTTTAGGGTTTAGGATTATTGATGTAGGGTTTAGTACAGGACTTCCAAGAATAGAACCTGACTTACTTTCAGAAATTCCTTTCTTACCCTGCAGAAAGCCCAATACCCCTTAGCTGAGGAAGGCTCCTCGGACTACAGGTCTTTGCCCTAAACCCTAAACCCTAAACCCTAAACCCTAAACCCTAAACCCTTTGTGGATCAAAAACTATTGTCCGAGAGGTTGAGGGCTTAGGGAAACTTGAGGCTGAACTGAAGGCTTGTTGGTTCAGTTTTTTTATAGGCTGAAATGATACACGACACGGCTTAGCGTCAGGGAGAGGCCAGAACCCAGATACACTATACATATGATATACTATATGTATATGTAGGTATATGCATCTGTATATTCCTGTCTGGGAAAAGGTCCTTATATTACCATTCTTGCTATAGAAAACCATGTTCTACATAGGATGCCTATAGTTGCAATTGAAACGCTAAGTAGCACACAGAAGGCGGACTAAGACACATGAAGTCAACGTGGAGAGTGGGCGGGGTCCAGGGTTCAGCTTGAGGTCCCCTTCTTAGGGACTTAGAGATTTTTATGGCCTGGAGGGGTTCAGGGTTTAGGGTGCAGGGATTTAGGGATTTTGGGGGGTTTCGGGGAGGGTGCAGGTGTAGTTTTTTGTTCTTCTTTTCTTCTTTCCGGGGATGGAGCTTCATTACGGGTTTAGGGAGAGGATTCCCCTAAACCCTAAACCCTGAACCCTGAACCCTAAACCCTAAACCCCTGTGCCCAGAGCCCGCCCTACTTATAGGGTTCGTCAGGGAGGGGGTCGGTCTGTAACCTAAGGTTCCCCACTACTCCCCAAGGCTCCCGAAGCTTCCTTAAGGCTCCCTATAGGTACCTACCCCCCCCCCCCCCCCATGAACCCTTAAAACCTAAAACCCCTAAACCTTAAGAACCCAAATAACCCACGAAGAAGCTTGCAGCATGAGGCGGCCCGGGGCAATCTTAGGAGCAGAGCCTTTGCCTTAAAGGCGAGGGGTCGCCAAACACGTTGAAAGTTCCGAGCTGAAAAGTTGGGGGGCCCTTTGGGGACGAAATGAACCCTAGAGGGGTTTAAGGTTCATACTACCTTAAATAGGAATCATACTACCTTAATAGGAATCACTACCTTAATAGGAATCATAGTAGTCAGGGTATATGACCCCAGTTTTAGGGTTCATTTCGTGCCCCCGAGGTTCGCGATGTTTGCGTGCGTCATCCTGCTGGTCCTTGAACTGTTGGGTTTTTTTTGCGAGCACGGGGTTTAGGGTTTAGGGTTTAGGGTTTAGGGTTTAGGGTTTAGGGGTTAGGGGTTTAGGGTTTAGGGCTTAGGGGTTAGGGCTTAGGGGTTAGGGGTTTGGGGAAGTGACCCGGTGCTTGATGGAAGCCCCTCGTGTCTGGAGGGGCTTGGCTCTAGATTTCCAGGCTTCCCTGAGAATTGTCATTCTTGTCGTCTTACAGCCCTTCCCACCTAAGCCCAAATCCCTTATCAGTCTTGTACATCATATAGCCGTTCCCTGCCCACCCTGTCCCCTGAGTTTTAGAGTTTGGGATGTCGAGTCTAGAATCGAACCTTAGACCTTAAGCCCGTAACCCCGAACGTTTGTTTGCCTGTTTTTTTTTGGGGGGGAGGAGAGATTCTCGGGGGGGGGGGGGGGGGGGTTCAAGCTAAACCCTAAACCTTAAACCCTGGTTCCGGTGGCCTGTTGTTTGGGGCTGATTTGGGGTTTAGGACGCTTTGTTTTGTGTTTGCATGCGCTTGAGTCTGCAGTGTGCTTAGCCCTGGAGGCCTTAAACCCTCAGCCTTCAACTGCAACCCAGCCCCTTGAACAACTCCGACATCCTTTACACCTCCGACAGATTCCAACAGAGCCCATACAACAAAATAAGAGAGACAACAAATATATGTAACTGAACAAACATAATGCATATATATATATACATATATATATATATGCATAGCTCTAGTTAATACCCAAATATCTTCAGAGGCTGTGCGTACTACGCAGAACCCAGCCTGAGCACGAAGCCTCTTTTTCTGTGCCTGGTATACCTCTATAGGGCTCACCTTAATTTTAAATCCCTAACCCAAAACCCTTTTTAGCCTCTAACTCTAACCCCCCCCCAACCCCCCACACAATCCTGAGACTCCACAGCGCCAAGATGCCATAAGCGTGGAGGGTTTTAAGCTTTAGGGTTTAGGGTTTAGGGTTTAGGGGGGCAAGCCCTACACCCCCCAAAACCCGTCGTAGCTTCCATGGTCCTCGTGCCATTATGGCGGCCGTCGTCGTCGCGCCTCTCTGCCGCCATTTGGGGGTCAGGGTTTAGGGTTTAGGTTTTAGGGTTTAGGGCTCAGGGTTTAGGGTTTAGGGTTTAGTTGGTTTAGGGCGCGGTGGTTGATTGGAGCCCTGAACCCTGAACCCTTTGCTAGGAATTCTTCAGTTTCTGAGGGGTGACCACTAGATCTTGGGCTGGTTTTGGGTATAGCGTTTAGGGTTCAGGGTTCGTCCCCCCCTACTCCCTAAACCCTAAACCCTAAACCCTAAACCCTAAACCCTAAACCCTAAACCCTAAACCCGAAGCTTCCAGAAGGCTGGTGCTGCGCAAGAAGCATGCCGAGCTGTACAAGAAGCATGGGAAGCTGCCCCCCTCCAAGCTGGAGATGCGCCTGGAGGTGTTTAGGGCTTAGGGCTTAGGGTTTAGGGTTTAGGGTTTGCGGGGGAGGGGTGTAGGGTTCAGGGTTAAGGGTTTGGGGTTTATGGGGGGAGGTGGAGGTTGGGGTTTGGAGTTGTGGTGTTCACGGTTAAGGGTTGGAAGGGTTTCGGTTTAGCACGTTGAGGGTCACTGGCGTGCACCAGCATCACACCCACCAGAAGAAATTAGGTGGAGGGTTCTAATAAGGCCCAGGAAGGCAAAAAGGGGAACCTTTTATATTCCTAGGTTACTCTTGAGTCTAGGCAAAAAAAAGGGACCTCCTACACGTAGTCCCGCAGCCTACCCTTTCAACTGTCCAACTTGCTGCGGCCCTCGAATTTGAACTCGGGGCATTGGCCCTTTGGCCCAAAAAACCTCGAACCCTTAGTCGCCCCTGACGGACGCGTAGGAGATGCGAAGAATCGGCAAGCTTGTGCAGGAAGAGGCCGATGATGGTGTTTGAGGTTTAAGGGGTTCAGGGATGTGTTTTAACATTTTCCCTGCTTGAAGAGGTTGAAGAGGATCATCTTCCTAACCCTAGCCCTACACCCCTATGCCCTTAAACCCTTAAACCCGTAAACCCTAAACCCCTTAAACCCCTGAACCCTTCCACCCTAAACCCTTAAACCCTAAACCCTGAACGCAAAGGAAGATATCCTTCAGAGGGTTTCAGGGGCCATCCTCTGCTCAGGTGCCTGTTTAGGACAATTTTTGTTCAGAGGGTTTTACGGGACATCCTTTGGGTTTAGTGTTGAGGGTTTAGGGTTTGGGGTTTAGGGTTTTTAGGGTTTAGGGTTACTATATCTCCAAGCACAGAATTATTACTAATAGTATCGCTCATGGTCCCCTTTTTAAGTATATAATAAGAACCTCCAGGGTTTAGGGTTTTCGGGTTTCGGGCTTCGGGCCGTTTAGGGACCCCCCCCCCCCCATTTAGGCCCTTACTTTTCCCAACAAGCTTCGAGTTTGGGAGCTGCTGCCCGAGGTACCTTAATAGGGTTTAGGGTCTAGGGTTTAGGGTTTAGGGCTTCACGCTTGTGGGTGCTGAGGTTCGGGGGGGGGTCAGGGCGGGTTTCGGGTTTAGGGTTCTGGGTTTTGGGTTTCGGGCATTTTAGGGTTCAGGGTTCAGGGTCTTCAGCTGCGTTACTACCTGAAGGCGTAGGGAGCGTAGTCCGCGCGGGTCTGAAGTCAGGTCCTGAGGGCTGGCCCAGGTTGGGGTACTTCTTTCCCCACTGATGACCGTACTAGCTACTAGCTACTAACTGTCCCCTGAGCCCTGAACCCTAAACCCTAAACCCTAAACCCTAAACCCTAAACCCCAAACCCCAAACCCTAAACCCTGAACCCTAAACCCTAAACCCTAAACCCTAGACCCTGGACCCTAAACCCTAAGCCCTAACCCTAACCCTAAACCTGAAACCCTAAACCCTAAACCCTAGACCCTAAACCCTAAACCCTAAACCCTAAACCCTAAACCCTAACCCTAAAAACCCCCTAAACCCCCACATGGCGAACTGGAATTGTCTCCTTTGAGGCCCCTCCGGTGCTGGTGGTGAACGTGCAGGTCGAACTCCCAGGGTTCTGGTCTCCGAAACCTTGGGCAGAAGTTTAGGGTTTAGGGTTTGGGGTTGAGGGTTTAGGGTTAGGGTTTAGGGTTGAGGGTTGAGGGTTTAGGGTTTAGGGTTTAGGGTTTAGGGTTGAGGCCTGACTTTGACTGGGGCATCATGGTCTTCTGGAACCCCTCAACATCCTCAACCGCAATTTGCCAAACCCTCAACCCTCAACCCTAAACCCTGAACCCTGAACCCTAAACCCTAAGCCCTCTTCTTGTAGGACCCCCTCCCCCCCACACATCAAGATTCGGGGGTTCAGGGTTCAGGGCTCTGGGTTGAGGGTTCTGAGTCGTGCGCCGAGGTCTTGGGTTGGGGGGCTAAGAGCTTAAGGCTTAAGGGGTTTAAGGGTTTAGGGGTTTAGGCGTTTTAGGGTTTAAGGGTTTAAGGGTTCAGGGGTTGAGGGGTTTGAGGGTTTAGAGTTTGGGGTTCGGGTTTAGGCGTGCTCGGGTATGTGTGTGTGTGTGTGGGGGATAGCGAAGTTTGTAGTTGTGTCTGTGCCTGAAATCCCAAAGTACCCGAAACCCTAAAAATCCCTAAACCCTAAACCCTAAACCGCACACGTCACACTAAAGCCCTGCTGCTGTCCATCGCATCTGGTGCGCGGTTTCAAGGTTTTATGACACAAAGATTGAATCCCTAAGGGCCCATGTACCCCAGCATTGTATACTTGGACCCCTAAGTCCCTCCATAGCAGGTGCTATGAAAGGCCCAAGTATTCCCTATTTAGGTACACGGACCCTTCGGGAATATAGGAATCTCTTGTCTTGTAGCAGTAGGCGTCGGAACAATTGCTACTAGAATTCAAGTATGGTTTTTTCTAGAACTAATGCGACAAGAACCCGCAAAACACCATTCCCAATTTTAGGGTTCATTTCGTCCCCAAGGACGAGGCAGTGGTGGGGGTGATCCGGAGAGCCTCGTGGCAGCGGCCCAGGTGAAGCTCCAGAAGTGGGTTTAGGGTTTAGGGTTTAGAGTTTAGGGTTTAGGGTTTAGGGTTTAGGGTTTAGGGTCAGCGGACCTCGGTGGAAGAAAGAAGAAGGGCAGGGACCGTCTGCTTGAGCTTCAAGGACATCAAGCAGGTCACCTTGGGTTGCATCACATACATGGGCAGCCAGGGCAGGTACAAGCAGTCGACGAAGTTTGTGCCCTGCTGATGAGGATCATGCTTGCTTCTGCTGAGATGGCGCGCATGAAGCCCGAAAACAGCCTAAACCCTAAACCCTATATTCCCTAAAACTGAACACCCTACATCGACTAAGTCCCTATAAACCTTACCGCCCTCAAAACCCCAAGCCCCATAAACCAGAAACCTATAAACGCTAAACCCTTAAGCCCTACATTCCACATGAGCCCTATGAACCCTAAAGGCCCTCAGACCCCCCAAAAAACATTGGTCAAGCCTAAACACTCAACCCTATAAATCGCAAAGCCCTAGACCCCTGAACCCTACACACCCTACAGCTTTAAAGCCCCCAAATAAAGCCTGAACCCTATAAACCCGAAACTCTGTAAGCCCTAAACCCCATGAACCCTACATACCCTGCATTCTAAAGCCTACACCCAGACCCTAAACCCGCAAAGCCGCCCCCCCCCCCCCCCCCCCCCCCCCCCCACCCCCTGAAAAAAAAACAAAAAGACATAAAGAACAACAACAAAAGCAAAACCCTAGCCCTAAACCCTAAACCAGCAGAGGTCCACTCCGCCACCTTGCTGCAGTCGCTGGAGTCCAGGCAGCTGAAGGTGGCCCCTCTTAGGGGTTTCTAACCCTAAACCCTAAACCCCAAAACCCCTAACCCCTAAACCCCTAAATCCCTAAATCCCTTAACCCCCTAAACCCTAAATCGGTAAACCCTTAACAGCCTAACACCCTGAAAGTCTTAGACCCTGAACCCCCACTCCCTGAACCCTATGTCCGTAAACTTTGGGGTTTGGGGCAGGTGGGGGGTGGCAGGTTTTTGTGTCAGGGGCTTCAGCTTAGGGTTCCGGGTTTGGGGTTTAGGGTTTGGGGTTTAGGCTTTAGGGTATGGCTTTTAATGAGAATTCAAAGTTTGTTTTTCAGGAGATCAGGAGGGGGGGGGGGTGCAATTGAAGCTCGCAGGGGTCGCAATCAACCGAATAACTTGGGATGTTCACCCTTTTACTAACAGCCCTTAACAGAGACTGTCAGGGGGGGGTACTATATTCCATCAAGGACTCTTAGTATAGGGGGGGAACATCCCCACCTAGAACCTAAACCCTAAGCCCTAAACCCCAAACCCCAAACCCCAAACCCTAAACCCTAAACCCTATCCGTATAAAGGACTGTTAGCGCAGGGGGGAGCATCCCTCGAGGTGCGCCTGAAGGTGGATTCGAAGGTGGTCCTCACTACCAAGGCAGGGTTTGGGTTTAGGGTTTAGGGTTGAGGGTTTAGGGTTTAGGGTTCAGGGTTGAGGGTTTAGGGTTTAGGGTTTAGGGCTTGTATAGGTACTTCGGGTTCGACATTCTGGATTTTTGTCGTGTGTCTGCAGGTTTTAGGTTGCTTCTTAGTTGCTTCTTAGGATGCCATGTATTTCACGTTCATTGGGTTTGGGAGCAGCGTCTTCAGGAATGCCGTTGAGATGGCTCAAACGGGCAAACCTCGCATGTCCAGGGCGATGTTGGCCATATTCTTGACTTTCAGGGTTTAGGGACTCTAAACCCTAGACCCTAGACCCTAAACCCTAAACCCTAAACCTAGGTAGCGAAAGCCACAATTACCTTACAGGGCCTTTGTGGCGGCCCCAAATGCATTTTTTTTATGTGCCGTTTCCGTTGCCGGTGGAAGTAAGATCTGCATTCTGACCGTTTAACAAGCACAGTCGTTTGCCAACAACCGAGGAATAGCAGCCACTCTGGACTGCCAGGATTTAGGTTTTGGGGGTTTTGGGGTTCCGGGCGCTCAGCCCCAATCCAACACCCGATGAGCATTAAGCCCCATAACCTCTCGGCTCCACATGCTAAGGCCACGCTGGGCAGAAGCCCCACAAAATCACCAAACTAGTGACGGCTTAGGGGCTTGTAGGACGCTGCTAAGGGAGGGAGGGGCTTCGTGGTTGCTAGGGTTTAGCCCTAAACCCTAAACCCTAAACACTAATTAAACCCTAAACCCTAAAGCAGGGCTTGGTACTGGTAGACGACATTCACAGAACAAGCAAAGCCCTGGAAACAAGACACAGCGACTTAAGTTTCTTGGTCGGAACGGCTCTTCGGCACAAAGCTTTACGAAAAATCCGACCCCGAAGCCCTTGTCAGCCCTCAACCCCGCAGCCCGGAACTCTTGTTTAAACCCGAAACCCTTGGATCCTAAGCTCCAAATTCCCACTGGTGCGCGGGAATTCATAAGGCACAAAGCCCCCTGAACCCTAAAGCCCCCAAGCCCTGCAAGACCAATCACACACTAAACCCGCAACTGCTCCACGTACCCTAAAGCAGCTGTCTGGCCTTAGCATCTATCCCCTGAGCCTTTTCACCCCAAACTTTCTAAACCTTATAAACCCTATAAATCCCATAAATCCTATAAACCCCATAAACCCTAGAAACCCAATACACCCTATACACCCGAAGCCATTTAGCTCCAAATCCTACAAACCCTAAGCCTTAAAGCAGTGCCTAAACCCTAAACCCTAAACCCTAAACCCTAAACTCTTGCTTTCCTGACTTCGCCGCCTTTGGCAGACGGTCGAGCCGCGTCGGCCGAGCGGTCTCTACCGTGCAGTCGGCGGGGCCCCTACAATTACAAAGTCTGCGGGTTTAGGGTTTAGGGCCTGTTTAGGGTTTAGGGTTTTTAGGGTTTAGGGTTTAGGGTTTAGGGTTTAAGGTTTAGGGTTTAGGGTTTAGGGTTTAGGGTTTAGGGTTTAGGGTTTAGGGTTTAGGGTTCTACAATTACAAAGTGCGGGTTCGGGGTTTCAGAGTTCAGGGGAAACCCTTTTGCAAAGAGTTGCTTAATATATGAAACAACAGATACTAACTAATACTCGAGCCCAGAACCTCACAAGCTCTTCATCTGATACTTGCAAAGGCATTGTTTACATACGAAACAAAACGGATTGCCAAATACTACGTAAAGGTCCATGCCGCAAAGCCATATAGACCCTTAGCCACGGACCTGTAACGGAGCTGTAACGGAGAGGTAGCGGAGCTGTAACGGAGGGCCCACGGTGGGTAGCGCAAATCCCAGAGTAAATGATGGTAAAGCCCACCCCCCAACCTTGAACCAAGAAATCCTTAGGTTTAGGACTTACAGGACTTAGGGCGGGTCGGAGGGGCCCTAGACCCTAAACCCTAAACCCTTTAGGACTTGGAGTGGGTGGTTTGGGATAGGAATTTTTGCTCAATCACACCCCTGCACCCCTCAACTCTCAAGACGCGGGGTTCAAGGTTTAGGGTGTCTAGGGGCTTCGGGGTTTTAGGGTCTCTAGGGGTTTTAGGGGTTCTAGGGGTTTAGGGGCTTTAGGGGTTCTAGGGGTTTTATCGGGCTCCAGGGGTTTTAGGGGTTTTGAGGGGTTTCAGGGGTTTTGGGTGCTCGGCATCCGGTGGGCCTGCTGGGCACGGGCATCTCACCACCGATGCTGTCGGTTTAGGATTTAGGGTTTATCCCTAAACCCTAAACCCTAAACCCCTAAACCCTAAACCCTATAACCCTATAACCCTAAACCTCAGGGTGGTTTCTGCTGCATCTTCTTGTGCTCCTGCCCAGTCCTACCTTCGGCGAAAGTGCGGCATTTGGGTCCTTACTCGGCATCTGCGGGGCTGTGACGCCTCGCAGCCTCACGCACGGGCTTTCCCCATATCGCCCTTGGGAATTATTTTTTGTGTATATAAAACCCAAGAGGATATTAAAAATATTGTTTTTGTTAAGGTTCTAAGGGGAGTATAGTTCCAGGGCCTGAGGGTTTTTAGGTTTCGGGCCCCAGTTTTGGGTTTAGGGGTTTGGGGTTTAGGTTGTTTAGATATGGCTTCGTTTTGGGCACGCCTAGGTTCAGCTGCTGTCACCTTGTATCACGCTTGGGGTGGGGGGGGGGGGGGGGCTGCCATATTCCAAAAATAAGGGCACCCTGCTTTAGGGCTGGTTGCCTTATAAGGGAACCTTGAACCGAAAACAGGGCCGAAGGGCTGGGCTCCAAGAATCGTGTATAGCATTTTTTCGCCACGGCGTCGAGGTCGGGGGTATGCGTGCTGATGCAGCAGTCATACTTGTGAGACAGAACACTGGAGACCAGGTGGGGCTGGGGTTCAGGGTTCCGGGTTTAGGGTTCAAGGTTTAGCCATGTTCGCCGCCAACGTTCAGTGAGGTCGAATCACCAGAGCCTGCCGAGGCTGTTCAGATGCTCGGAGCCACAGAGTAGGGTTGCGTCGTGGTTGGAAGTCCATTAAACAGACAAACGCCGGTATGGTAAGGCGCTCACCCCTCCTCGCAAGTTTGTATCGTTCAAAGAGCCTGAATCCTAAACCTTTAGTTTTGCAAGGGGCTCTGTAGGAATCCTTACAACTCTATGAGCCTTTCAAGTTTCAAAGCTTCCGTATGTAAGGAAGCAGGGAATTAGGTCTTTTTTGGGTTGGATATCGAATCCTGAGTCCTGAACCCCAAGCCCAAGCCCAACTAAGGCTACTTCGAAGTTGCCAAAGCCATGAAGTCTCTCCCTACCAGTTGAAACCCGGCACGCCCAACCCTACGCCTCCCCCCCCTCCACAGGAGTGAAGGCGTTTGGGCAAAAACCTGGAAGCCCTAAACCCTAGCCCTAAACCCTAAACCCGAAACCCGAAACCCTAAACCCTAAACCCACCCTATGTAGCCTAAACTCTTCCCAAACCCCAGGAGCCCAGAATCCCGGCCCCGGAGCCGGCCGGCGACGCCGACGAGGGGCTCAGGAGAGCCCCAAACAGGGTTTAGGGTTTAGGGTTTAGGGTTTAGGGGGTTTAGGTTTTAGGGGCTTTAGGGACGGCTTGGGGAACGGGGCGGTTTCGGGTTTGGGGGGCTGAGGGTTTCGGAGGTTTAGGGTTTAGGGGGCTTGGGGTTTCCGGCTTTAGGGTTTATAGGTTTTGGGTTTCTCGGTTTGTGGTTCAGGGTTTATAGTGGGAATTCATGTATCAACTTCCATGGCCCCTAAACCCGATTACGATGCAACCGTTTTGACCCATAGAAATTGGAAGTTGCAATGCAGTTTATGGGTTTGGGGTTAGGGACTTTGTTTCCTGGAAACAGCTACCCTAAACCCTAAACCCTAAACCCTCAAGTTGGGGAAATTAGGGAGGGCTCGTCAACCTCCACTCTGCCGGGCATGTGGGTTTTTGTTCAGGGTTTAGGGTTTAGGGTTTCGGGTTTCGGGTTTAGGGTTTCGGGTTTAGGGTTTGGGGCGCATGCGCATATCTTTTTATGGCTTCGGAACCCCATAAACCCTAATCCGGATTTCGGGGGGACGGGGAAGGGGCTGAAAATGGCTCTTGTTCAAGATCTGCCTCCTCACGAAGCTGCTGATTGAGTTGAGTTTCATCCAGAGAGTATAGGGGGTGCTGCTGGGGAGGATTCAGGGGGCTTAGGGTTTAGGGTTTAGGGTTTTAGGCTTTAGGGTTTAGGGTTTAGGGTTCCTGTGTGGCTTTTTCCCTCGCCATGTCCCTTGTGATTGAAGCGAGCCTCCTGAGCGGCCGCTCCGTTGTGCTGGAGGCAAAAACGGAGGAGCTTGTGGAGACGTTTGCAACTAGGCAGGCAGTTGGGACCCTTTATATGTGTTCCCTTCTTGGGCTTGAGAGGATTATGTAGGGTTTAGGGTTTAGGGTTTAGGGTTTAGGGTGGAAGATTTTTCAGAGGGCATCAAGGGCCATCCTAGGCAAGCCGAGCGCAGAAGGCTCTGGGAGTTGGCCGGGGCAGGCTCTTGGACTCCTCCGGAGGCATGCTCGAGGGAGCAGCCACGCTGGAGGAGTCGAGGTTGCAGAGCGGCGATACGGTGACCTTGCACATCCGCAAGGTCTGCGTTTGCAGCAACCAAATTGCTTTTGTTGCCATGCTCGGCGATGGGTCTGTGGCAACCTGGGGCGATGCTGATTGTGGCAGTGACAACCGTGCTGCACCAGGTCAGCTGGAGGGCGTGCGGCACATCCAAGCATCTGCACAGGCTTTTGCCGCCATTCTGGGGGATGGATCTGTTGCAACCTGGGGCGATGCTGAATGTGGTGGCGACAGCAGTGCTGTGCAAGGTCAGCTGAAGGACGTGCAGCAGATCCAAGCATCTGAGTCCGCTTTCGCTGCCATTCTGGGCGATGGGTCTGTTGTGACCTGGGGCAATCGCCTATATGGTGGTGACAGCAGTGCCGTGCAACATCAGCTGAAGAATGTGCAACAGATCCAAGCATCTGCGACGGCCTTTGCAGCCATTCGGGGCGATGGGTCTGTTGTGACTTGGGGCGATCCTGATTGTGGCGACAGCAGTGCCGTGCAACATCAGCTGAAGAATGTGCGGCAGATCCAAGCAGCTGCGTGGGCTTTTGCTGCCATTCTGGGCGATGGGTCTGTTGTGACCTGGGGCGATGATGATTGTGGCGGCGATAGCAGTCGTTGGCAACATCAGCTGAAGCATGTGCAGCAAATCCAAGCTTCTTACGGTGCTTTTGCGGCCATTCTGGCCGATGGGTCTGTTGTGGCCTGGGGCGATCCTGACTATGGTGGCGACCACCGTGCTGTGCAACATCAGCTGAAGGACGTGTGGCAGATCCAAGCATCTGCGCGGGCCTTTGCTGCTATTCTAGGCGATGGGTCTGTTGTGACCTGGGGCGATGATGATTGTGTTGGCGATAGCAGCGTTCGGCAACATCAGCTGAAGCATGTGCAGCAAATCCAAGCTTCTTACGGTGCTTTTGCGGCAATTCTGAGCGATGGGTCTGTTGTGACTTGGGGCGATCCTCACTATGGTGGCGACAGCAGTGCTGTGCAACATCAATTGCGGGACGTCCGCCAGATCCAAGCAGCTGCATGGGCTTTTGTTGCCATTCTGGGCGATGGGTCTGTCGTGACCTGGGGCAATGCTCGTCGTGGTGGCGACAGCAGTTTTGTGCAAGGTCAGCTGAAGGACGTGCAGCAGATCCAAGCATCTGCACAGGCTTTTGCTGCAATTCTGGGTGATGGGTCCGTGGTGGCCTGGGGCGATGCTGGGCATGGTGGCGACAGCAGGGCTGTGCAACATCACCTCATGGACGTGCAGCAGATCCCGGCTGTCAGAACTTCCATCAATAGTTCAGGCAGCGGTGATGAATCTGGCGGCGCTTTCGAAGACATGCCGGGCGATGGGTCTGATGTGATCTAGGGCCATGGTAGCAGCACCGTCGTGCAACATCAGCAGAAGAGCAATCGTTCATCAGATCCCAGCTATTGGGCATCCTCTTTGACAGGTCGCAAAGCTGAATGTTTCTGGGGCTTAAGCACAGTACATCCGAGCAACCGGGAGGGCTCTTGCTGCCATCTCTAGGTGACGAATCTGCCGTGACCAGGGCCACGTCTGCTTCCTCAGATCATGGTGCAACATGCCAGCACCGCCGATTTCAGCGTTGCCCATTCGCACCGGACTTCTACAGGCATTTCGAACTAAACCCTTAACCCAAATCCGCCGAAGTGCTCTTAAGCCTTAATCCTTCCAAGTAGCTGCTTGCATTGAGAAGGAAGAGAGCGTTCAGGGGTTCAGAGTTTGAGGGTTTTAGGGTTTCTGGGCATTGGGCTTTTTTTTTGGTGTTTTTAGGATCTTATAATTAGGGTTTAAAGTGTTTTCCGGCTTTCAGGGTTTCAAGTCTTGTTGGGCATTGGGTTCAGGTTTTGTGTGTAGGGTTGAAAGTCTGGGAGGGTCTAGGCCCTTGGTGTAGTTTGGATTTCCCCTGTTTTGGCTTCAGAGGACCGTATTCACTACGATTTTTTAGGAGAGGGAGGGGGGAGGGGTTGAGGGTTTCGAGGGCTCAGAGGTTAGGGTATGAGATCTCCTTGAAGTCTACGCCGAGGCTCCAGAAAAGTTTAAAGTTGACCTTAGTAGCTATCTTCTTGTTTAATTAGAAGTTTGTGGCTTTGGGCTTGTTCAGGTTTAGGGTTCAGACCCCGCATGGCCTAAAACCCTAAACCCTAAACCCTCAACCCATAAGCCAGGCATCCCTTCCCCTAAGGGGGAAAGCTTTGGATTTTGGCCCCTGTGCTCCCTTGCGCCCTTCTGCTCAGTGGAAGAATCCCCTTTCTTGCGGTTTAGGGTTTAGGGTTTACGGTTTAGGGTTTAGGGTTTGGAGTTTAGGGTTTAGGGTATATTGTAGGGTTTGCAGGGTGTAGGCTCCAGGGTTCTCTTTGGGATTTAGGGTTTAGGCTTCAGGCTTAGGGTTTGTAATTTTTTGGAACTATTTGCCCCCCCCCAAAAAAAAAGTAAGAAATAGCCTTTCCTATAAGGGCAATGTAGAGATGATTTTTATTATTTTTTGGGGGAGGGGGGGGGGGGGTTCTGAAGCAAATAGTAGCAAATGTCAACAATGAGAAGCCCTTCTCAAGGGGCAAGGGTAGTCAGGGTAGCAGGGGGACGGGGGAGGCGTGTAGGTAAGCCAACCCCAAACCAGTCAACCCCTCAACCCGTCAAACCCTCGAGCCTTAAACCCCTCAACCCCTAAAACCTAAACCCCTCCAGCCCCTCCAACCCCTCAACCCTGAACGCTCCAACCCCGAAATCCTAAGCTCCAAACATCAAGTTTTCGACTTGGTAAGGAGCACCTTCAGCCTCACAGGGATTTAGGGCATAGGGTTGAGGCGTTTAGGGTTTATAGGGTTTATAAATGAGCCATAAAGCCATGAAGCCTGGAAAACATGCCTGGCAGGATTCCGTTCGAGGCTTCCGCTGAGAAGCCCGCCTGCAGTGCAACCCTTTAGGCACCGACGAGGAGGTTCTTCTGGGTTTAGGGTTTAGAGTTTGAGGTTTAGGGTTGAGGGTTGAGGGTTGAGGGTTGAGAGTTTAGGGTCATGATCTCTGTACCGGGTTTGAGGCTTTTAGGGTTTAGGGTTTAGGGCTTGGGACATCACAGTATTTGCAACGCAGGCACATCGATATTGGGAGGGGACATGTGCTAGATTTGCCTTCTTCGGCGCATCGTAGGCATCAATTTTTTTTAAGGGCAGTTACATGGGCCCTGAATATGGTCCCTGAATATGGCCCCTTAAGATGGTCCCTTACTGTCCTTGAAGGGTTCTGAAGTACGGGCCCTTCATTTGTACAGGGTATGTACGGGGTATATACGGGGTCCCCTATTTTAAGGCCCATACGAAAGGACCATGTAACTACCCCAAACCCTAAACCAAACCCTGATCCCCTATGTTAAGGGACCATGTAACTACCCTTGGAATCATTCCAGGGTTCCCATCCTCTGAGGTCTGCGCAACTGCAGGTAGACGCTAGAGACAAACCAGACCCAGCAGAAGGTCTAGGATTTAGGGTTTAGGGTTTAGGGTTTATAGGGTTTATAGGGTTTATAGGGTTTATAGGGTTTATAGGGTTTATAGGGTTTATAGGGTTTATAGGGCTTAGGGTTTGAGGTTTAGGGGTTTAGTCTACTCAGCCCCTCCTAGGGAGCCTATCCGTTTGGTCTCCATCGGGTTAGCACACACAGCTCGCAGTCGTAGCGAGGGTCGTACCTTGGGGACTAAATGAGCTCTAAACGGGTTTATGGTCATATACCTCACTAGGAAATTCGTCAGGGTATATGACCCCTTTTTTAGGTTTCATTCTGTCGCCAAGGGTGGGCATGGCATGCACTTCCATCACGCCGCCTTTGCTGGGAAACAGCTTCCTCACACCCTGGCCACCCTAAGCCACAAATCCCCAAAGCCCTTGACCTCGCACCTGTAAACCCTTAACCCTACACCCCAAACCCTAGGGCTGAATGCCAAGCATGACGTACACAAAGCCGATTTAGGGTTTAGGGTTTAGGGTTTAGGGTTCAGGGTTTAGGGTTTAGGGTTTAGGGATGATGCGGTTCATGACATGGGGGTCAGAGTGTGGGGTTTTGGCGCTTGGGCTTTTCAACTACCAGCTGGTTTGCGCTGCTCCCACCCCGCCCCCCTCCGCCAACCCCCAACCCCAACTAAACCACACCTAAACCCTAAACCCTATAAACCCTAAACCCCAAAGTACCCTGAATGCCACCGCCCCCCCCCCCCCCCCCCCACCCCGACTGCGCTGAGTTTCACCTACGGCGGCAAGAACACCCTCGTCTTCGAACTACTGGAGAGCCGTGTGCTGCTTCCGACCCAGGCACGCCCCAAGGCCCTCCTCCCTACACCCTTTTTAGAGAATAATTCCTATACAGCCTATAATATAGCCTATAAACCCTATGATAAACCTTATAAGGCCTATAAACCCTTGAAAATTCCTGTAGAAACCCTTGATACGCCCTATACAACAAGCCCACAGCTTCGGTTAAAGCACCCGAGCCCTAAGCCCTTTCAGCGCGAGTTTAGGATTCAGGGACGGGCTGAGGGTTTAGGGTTTAGGGTTTAGGGTTTAGGGTTTAGGGTTTAGGGTTTAGGGTTTAGGGTTTAGGGCGTTTAGGGCCTTTAGGGTGTTCAGGGTTTAGGGTTTAGGGCTATCAAGCTGCCAACGATCAGCTTGACCAAGAAGACTTCTGCACAGCAAGTGGTCAGGCTCAGGACTCAAAGGCTCTGGGGCCCGCGAAGAACCTTCCTGCGGCAAGCAAGGGTTCAGGGTTTAGGGTTTAGGGTGTAGGGTTCATAGGGTTTAGGATTTAGGGTTTAGGGATATTAGAGACTCCGTCAAGGACGTCCCAACCCCCAAAACCCAAACCCAAGAGCCCGACCTTAAGGCCACAAACCCTACATTTGTTAGGGATTCACGTCCATGCAGCTCCTAAAGCCCAAACCCAACATCCCCTAAAACCCCTTCCCGAACCCTAAACCAATAATCCGAAACCCTAAACCAAAACCCTAAACCCTAAACCCTAAACCCTAAACCCTAAACCCTAAACCCTAAACCCTAAACCCTAAACCCTAAACCCTAAACCCTAAACCCTAAACCCTAAACCTAAACAACCCTAAACCCTAATTGAACCCTAAACCCTCCTTTGCCTTTCAGGTGGTCGGCCGGGGCTCCTTCGAGCTTCCCGAGGTGCCTTGGGGGTTCAGGGCTTGTGGTTGAGGGCTTTAGGGATCCTAGTCTCGGAGCCCTAAACCCTAAGCCCTAAACCCTGAACCCTAAACCCTAAACCCTAAACCCTAAACCCTAAACCCTAAACCCTAAACCCTAAACCCTAAACCCTAAACCCTAAACCCTATCGGTCTCAGGTGCAGGCTTTCGGTTTCTTGTTGGTTTTCTTGGGGCCCGGTTTGGCCGAATCTTCGAAAAGAGTTGCGCCAACTTAGGAAGTGCTTAGTAGTAGAGTAGATAACCTTTAACCTTTTTTGGTTAATCCATTTTTAATCCCAAAGGTTAACCTTTAAAACCCCTAGGTACTGGACAACTAAGAGTGTTATCTTTGTTTGCTGTTTGGAGGTAGTTATCCGGATCCTTTCTCATCAAAGTTAAGCTCATGTCTGAGGTCATCTCTTCCTTTAGAAAGATTATCACTATGTCTAAAGAAGTGTACATGCTGCTTAGGCAAAGAGTGTTGGTTGCTGAATACAATAAGGCTAACTAGGATCCAGAGTATCCCCCTATTCCCTTTGTTTTGGGCTTAGGGTTTAGGGCTACTAGGACCGGCCCTTGTTCCCTTTTTTTGAGGGTTTTGGTTCTCTTGTAAGCCCGTGTAAACCAAAAGGGCACCCTTTTTATGCCTAGCTTCCTCCTGGGATAGATGAAGATAAAAAAGAAAAAAAGAACACGAGCCCGTGGTCCTTAGGCCAGCACATGGGAGAGCATGGGAAGACGGCACCGGCACCCACCTTGCTGTACAAGGGCAGAGGGGCGAACTGTGGCTCTCTGGGATCCTGAAAGCCGAGACGGCGCACCGCTTCCCGCACACGGATCTGCAGGTGGTTGTGCTCCAGGAGATCCTGCAAAAGCCGTCAAGAAGTCCCAGTTGGAGGGGCATTGGTCGTGCAGTTTTCCCCTCACCAGCACGAGGGATCGAGATGAGTGCTGGGCAGAATAACATCGTTATTACAAGTTCACTCGTGATGAACAATAGAACTGTGTGAACGAAATGGTTTCCTCTTCCAAAATCCTGTCTCAAAGTTAAGGTTGTTCACACTAGTTGTATTTTCGGTTTCTTACGTTTGCTGCGTCAGACCCTATACACTCTGCAGGGTTTAGGGTTTTAGGGTTTAGGGTTTAGGGTCTCTGCGCTCAGGGTGTTGGGTTTCAGAGAGACTTCTGCCCCCAGAAGTGCCACTATCGGGCCCTGCAAACAATAATCCTGGCGGTTGGACCCTAAGCCCTAAACCCTAAACCCTAAACCCTAAACCCTAAACCCTAAACCCTAAACCCTAAACCCTAAACCCTAAACCTTGATGTTGTGCCACCAGGCCGCTGTGAAGAGAGTCCTGGAGAGCAGGAAAGACAGCAAAAAGGCCTGAGCATTTCGGGAGTTTGGGGGTATCAAAGGCTTCGGCGGTGGACCCTAAACTCTAAACCCTAAACCCTAAGCCCTAAGCCCTAAACCCTAAACCGGATAAATCCACGTACGGCCCAACAGTAGATACAGCCGTATGCACACCCCCCACGTCATATAATGATGGTGACCGTGACGACGAGGATGATGGTAGAAAAACCATGCGTGGAGAGGCGCAAATGAGCCTCTGACTGAATCATTCCCTGTAGCGCTGGATATCCCCGTGGCACCCTAGCCCTAAACATCCAACTACTCAATCGTGCCCCTAAGGTTGTACCCCTAAAGGCTGAACACACTCTTCATGTGGCCCGTTTGTTACCCTTATTAGCATCTGTAAAAGCGTCCCAAACCCAAGGGTACTCGTACCACCTTAGTTGTCCAAGGTAAAAAAGTCCCCTGAACAGCCCCAGACGGCCTGCAAGATTCTGCAGCGGCCAGTTTGTACCGTAAGTTATGCTGGGAGTTTACAGTTTACGCAAATAGGGGGACCCTATATAATGCCCTCTACGTAGTAGGATTCCCTTTCAACAAGGACCCCAGTAAGGTACCCTTAGTATCGTAAACCCCCAATGCTTCCGCGTCGCTGAAGCCTCAACCCCACTTGGAGGTTCATGGTACTTACTTATTAACCATTTATCCCTTTACACATATAACCCCCACTTATCAGCCCCTTAAGTGCCCTAATATGGTTATGTAAGTACAGTTATAAGTACAGTTGTACTTGGTTAATAAGTACCATGAGCCCCCTAGCAGACCAGGGTGTAGGATTATGGGGTGTCTGCTTCCGACCCTACAGGATATCTACTACACGTGGAGCCTCGCCTACACGAACCCTAAACCCTAAAGCCTGAAAGCCCCACCCCTAAGCCCTAATCATGCCTTAAACCCCCGAAAACCTAAACTCATTTGAGCAAACGTGTCGGCAGTGCAGGCTGCAAAGAAGGCCAAAGCCAAGGCCTACCACTCGGGCGGGGAAAGGGCGGCGGGGGGGGGGGGGGGGGGGTGTGCGAGAGGCGGTTCCGGATTTAAGGCAGTCAAGGGTTATAGGGTTTATAGGGCCCAAAATCCTACGCCCTCGTAAATTGAAGCTGAAAATCCTGAAGCCTCGATTTTCTTCTGAAGGCGTGGGGCTTGAGGGAGGGGCTTCAGGCCGAGGTGTGTCAAGGGAGCCCGAAGGCCCTGTTTAGGGTTTAGGGTTTAGGGTTTAGGGTTTAGGGTTTAGGGTTTAGGGTTTAGGGTTTAGGGTTTAGGGTTTAGGGTTTAGGGTTTAGGGTTTAGGGTTC